CAAGACTGGCAAGGATGAAGAGTTCTTTACTGTGTGTCTAGTCCATGATGGTGGATGGTGATGGTGGATGCATTGCCATTAGGGGGACAGTCTGGGTGGTGCCAACTTGATCTGCAGCTTGATTCCACTAGGTCTTATCAGAGAACTGGCCCTTACCATAGTCACCTACATGAGTGCCAATTAGCAGCCACAATTTGCTTCCACAATTTACTGCCCTAAGAAGGAGTTTCTCATCTGCCTCTTTCAAATGGCAGACCAGATGGCTAGGCAGTTGGCAACAGCCCAGGAGTCAGCAAAAATATGACAAGGTTTATCAAAAGGTGTACTGGCTAAATCTGTGAGAACGGCATTAAGTTCTGCCCACTGAGCAGCGACCACGTTCACTTTAGTTCTGCGTAGCTGGTGCTGAGGTTGGACAGCCACGGCAGCACAATGGATACTATCAGCTTTTAATTTAGCTGAGCCACCAGTGAATTGGGCCTAGGCATTCAAGGAGTCCTTGTGAAATGAGGGCCCCTTTGAGCCACCAGATGCAGGTCTGCTTCAGGCAGTGGAGTGCGAAACAAATGGTTTTGCAAGCATTCTTGTTACCACTTCTTACAAAATCAAGATGACACTAAGGCTACTCCATCCCAGAACTTATTTTNCGCCCGCACCGCGCTCAGCCGGTGAGCGCACTGGCCATTCCTATATAGGATCCGAACCCGCGGCGGGAGCGACGCTGCGTTCCCAGTGCTGCACTCTCCTGAGTGCGCCAAGGGGCCGGCCCCAGAAGTTATTATTTTTACTTAACCACAAGGCCTGTTTAGTGAGGTACATACTGTCTCCAATTCCCAAAGCCTCTGATAACGTGTAGGCTTCATTTTAGGTAGTAACAGATTAAAGAGATGGCAGTTTTTTGACTGCCAGAGGGATTAAGCATTGTGAATCCACTCACACAGTCCCAAGAAACTTTACTTAAACAGGCTCCTGCATTTTATTGGAGTCTATCAAACACCCATTGGTGGAGGCATGATGAAACCAGTGAAGGTATATGAGATTGAGGATTATGACTTGTCAAAAAAGACATCCTCATCTTTCATATAGTGAAAATGATATCAAAGTAGAAGCATTTGTGTTAAATACTGAACCTCCCCACTGGTTGCAAATGGCAGGGGAGTTTGTTCCATTACACTTTTCTAAATGTAGCAATGGCCTGAATGGAAGAATCTCCTCTAAAACTTTATAAACATTTACTGCACAAGCATGTACATACACATCTATCCCACATTTAGCATTAGAAGATATAACAGTGCACTAACTTGCACCCACACACAAAGTATTTTTTTATAAAGTATTTATAAATATTTGGGGGGGGGGCAGCTGGCCTGTATGAGGGTACCGCACCCTTGGCCTTGGTGTTACAAGGCCATGTTCTAAACAACTAACTGGCCAGTTCTTATTTTATAAATTAAAAAAAACTTTCTTCAATGTGTTTTGCCCGAGCCCTATCAGTTAAATTTGGATGATTTACAGCAGGCATTGCCAAACTTTTTTCTGTAGTCATGTAATACAAGCAGAGACAAAATTGATGCTATGTAGGTATATAATGAGAGTTAATAAATTTATATAGGTCTATAATGAGTTTGTAAATTTCCACAAAAAATTTTTCTTTTCTTTTTTGTCTTTTTTACTGACCGGTAACGGGATCGCAACCCTCGGTGTTGCGCCCGCACCGCGCTCAGCCAGTGAGTGGGAACTGG